GTATTCCATTATATTGGTATATATTAATACTTTTAACCATTCTGTGATCGTTGAACATTTGTTTTTAAAGTATGATAGTTACTTCCCATATTTTGGATATAAAGGGAACATATGCTTTTGACTTCACAGACAAAAGAAATAGAAGGACAAACATTTCTAGAAACGTGAGCAAATCCATATTTTGAAGTAAGTAAATATCTGCAGCCAATCACAGGATGCAGAGATAAACACATGGTGCGCATGGATGGTTAGACTTTAAATAGAATAATGTGTCCCATTCCTTCAGACCTTACAGGTTCATTGGTTTACAGGGAATGAATGGGCTGGGTTTGGACGGGATCCTATGATGAGCTCAATTGTATATAAGTGCACATCATGTGGAAAAGCCAAAAGGCTGTCTGAGCTATAGTCAAGTAGCCAGTGCTTTTGTTCAGCAGGGAACAGACAGTATTTTGAAATGCATGTTGCTGTGGACTCAGTCATACCTAGAAGTTAACCTTTATGTTGAGAGTTTTATTACCATTATGTTAAACTATTTACTTACAAAAAACTGTTAGCTAGAACCTTAACTTCATAGCTTACTTGCTCTACTACATATCTTTGAGAGAGAAAGAAATCTTTGAGCCAAAGCTGAGCAAAGAACTCTACAGGTGCACTTACTTCACTTGCAATGTCTCTGGAGGCCTTGGCCATCCTGATGGGAATGGCATCTATCCGCATATCATAGCCTTTCTTCTTGGCTTCTTCTAGGCCAAGTTTATAGTGTTTCTGAAATAGACATAAATCATCGTAAGTTTGATATATAAAGTGCAGTGCAAGAAAAAATATATCATGCACCATGAATACATTGCTTACCTCACTGTAATTTATTGTGTTTTGTTTAGCAAGTAAAACTTCAGGGGTGTCTGGCATAATGTGGACAGTGGTTTTATCTTTATCCCAAGCTTCTGTATAGAGATGCTGAAAGAAACAAAAAAAGGATGTGACTAGTACAGGCCAGTGATGAATCTGGTTCTTAATGAGAGTAAAGAGAGCCCACTCTGTGAGTCAGTACTTGTGACACCATTACGTCTAGGTGTCTCATGTCAGTAAGAAGCACAAAACTTACTTAAAAACCACTTTAATACCAAGCAAAATAATTGAATGTGATTTTTCTTTTATCAAAACAGATTTCAGTGTTTACATACACACATACAAAAATTGACACCCCGCTCAAGTAAAAAAAGGACTTACGTGGTTCATGGTAATAGCGTTGTTTTTTGCCAAAACCATTGGGATGGAATCCATAAGGCTGGAAAATGTGAATTTATCTGGGTGCTGGCGGTAAACGTGGTCACTCAAAATCTGGGTAGCTCTCTTGTTCCTCTCATCCTCAAGAGAGCCAGTAGGAAACCAGCCAGTGCCTTTGAGCCACTGAAGGTCGGCCTTGTACAAATTCTGAAATTGTAAGTGATAAACCACTAAACATCAGCATAATGATATGCCTTAAAGAAATAAAAATTTGAATTATAATACATTGTATTATATTATATATTTCAATGCTTGGATTCTTGGGAAATTTAAAAATTTTGCTATGTCTTGTGAATCCACCCAATATTCAGATTAGAAACCTATTTTGAAAAACATTTTAAACAGAACATAGAGAATGACCCAACTCTACTAGATCAATAATCTAGAGGTTTCCATCAAAGCAATCAGTGCTTTGCTGGTTCTTTCTTTATGGAAATAATGATGCTCTCAGATGTCTGTGTGACTGGATAGAGAGTGGGCATTAGTCCAGGGAGGTAGAACTCAGTTGTATAAACTCAACTCCCCTCATTTTGGGGGAACTTGGATACTTAGGAAATCAGACATGGTGTTTTGTTGGCCAAAGGAAAATCTTATACTCACATCACTCTGGAGGTCATAGGCTTGTCGAGCATGGGTGACGTCAGTCTGGTCAGGCAGGCAGGTCCACTGGTGCAGGTAGTTCTTGTAGTCCGCGTCACTGACCAAGGCCTGGCACTTCTTGGCCTGCACCATCCCCAGCATGTCCACTGGGCTGCTGAACTTGGTCTTCCACTTCTCAAAATCCTTCTTGTATTCCCTGTCACTCTGGATCTTGGCCACATGCATGGACCACATCATCTTCGGGTCATCTTTGATGTCCCGGGCTCCAATGTGATGGCCAAGCTGCTTGCGGTAACCATCTTTGTATTTGTACTGAGATGAAAATGCACAAATTAGATTTTTATTTTAAGCTCGTAGAGGTCACAAGCCTGTACAAAATCATCTTGCTTATATCGCTGTTGTACGTTGACTTTTGCTAATAAGCACTAACTCAAGGCAATATCCTACCTTTCCCCTAGAAGCTTATAGAGGTAATAAAATAGATGGAATTCATATAATTGTAGTGTATACCCCAAATCACCTATGGCCTGGTAACAAGGAATAGTTCCAGGGGCAGCAAATGCACACAGTGGAGAGGCCATGTGGACCAAGGGACTTGGAGAAATGGGTTAGGCACTAAAAGTACATCAGAAAAGAGAAGGACTTGGTGACAAGATGTGTTTAATAAGTAGTAAAATGAGTGTCTGGCTCCTTTGAGGATGAAGTCAAGGTCAAGGACTACTTGCAGTAGCAACAGAAGAGAATTTCCTGTTTCATAATGGATTCAGGTATTCAGTGGTGGTGGCAAATTGGGGCATCATTTTGGAAACTGGTTATACTAGGGAAGCTGACCTAGCAGCCCAGTTGCTTAGAGCATGCTCCTAATAAAGTCATGGGTTCTCATCTCTCATGGACCAACAGTGTTGTTATTATTCCATGTCGAAAGACGTTGTCCTGGAATCCGAGCCAATTATCCAAAATACATGCTTCTAGTCTCAAAGATAACTGAGTGAGAAAGTATAAACGAGTCAGCAGAGGCAATATAGTACAGTGGGAAGGAATGAGGTTGCTTGGGTTTCAACTCCATCACCTACTAAGAGTTTGATTTTAGACAAGTTGCTTAAGCAACCCATAAAACAGGGATAATCACAATCTTACATCCTAGGGTAATTATGAAAAATAAGTGACATAATGCATATAACATTCTTAGCACAGATTTCTCAACACTTCTTGGTTATTATTATTTTGTTATATATTATTATTGGCATATATCCATTTGTAGGAAACGTACAACATACGTAAACTAAAGTGAGTCACTAATATGATCTTCCAAAATAAAGGGCAGCATATTACCATATTCCCAAATAGTGGGTCTTCATTTTTAGAGCAGTGGTCTGTTCCTCAAGAATTCCCTGAGGTACCAGGAAGGGATGATGGTTTTATTCTGGGAGTCACAAGCCACAAGCCAGGAGCTAGTGTTAAGGGTGCAAGTTTGGGCTAGTCTGGCACTGATCAACTGCCTTCTTTTCATGATTTTACAAGGGTGAATTGTAATGGCAAGTGTCATATGCATTTTTTGAATATTGTATATTAAAATGCTGTATAAAGCTAGGCCTTGATTCTCACTGGGAGAACTTAAGTTTATGAGTCACACTTTCTATAAGCACTGTGACAATTTTTATATAAGCATCTCCAAGCCTGCAGCTACACTCTAACAAATTCCACATGAATGGATCTTTCTCTGTTCTTGGTGGATCCGCTTTCACTGAAGATACTGTGACTTAGTGGCTATAAAACTTTTCTGTAAACATCAAATTTTTCATTTCCCTCAAAACTAGGTTTTTGAAAAACCCTACACAAATACATCAGGATATACTTCCAAAGGGCCAGGAAAGTTCTTTTAGAAGATTTAATTCAGTGAAAATGTCACTTCAGACTGACCACATACTAGGAGTAAAACTGACAACTCACATCACTGATGATGTCCCTGGAGGCCTTGGCTGCCACAATCGGTATGGCATCACTTCGCAAGTCGTAGCCTTTCTTCTTTGCTTCTTCGTTGGCGCGTTTATACAGACTCTAAATTTGGGCAAAAAACAAAATCAGTTACAGGTTGACATTCATATCCAAAAATGACAGACGACTAAAATAATTCACCAAGTTCTACACGGGTAGGTGCCTGTAATAATGTCACTTTTGAGAGTTCTAAGCTTTCTGCGGTTTTGGCTGAAGTTGAGACTTAAACATGATACCTATATGGAATATGGCACCTTTGTTTTTTTTATTTTAAAACTTATGTTACATTAACCATATACAGATATTATTCATGGTTTTAAAACTTTTAGTTATAACAATGAATCAGTTTTGGAAAGAACTGGAAAAATTAAGCTGAAACTCATGGGCCTAAGGTGGCAAAGTGTGGACAGAAGGGACACTCATTTGATCCACATTTATTCTGCACTGACTCTGTGCCATGACTGTGCTTGGTACTTGGGAAACAAAGATGAATATGAGGCCTCTCCCATCTTCAGGGTTTCTGGGAGAACTGATGGAAAGACTGATAACCTGCGGAACAAGCTGCCAAAAAGTCAGACCATGAAAGGTGTTTTAACCATATTATTAAGAATGAGCTCCACGGGACTTCCCTAGTGCCGCAGTGGACAAGACTCCACGGTCCCAATGCAGGGGGCCTGGGTTTGATCCCTGGTCAGGGAACTAGATCCCACATGCATGGCGCAACTAAGAGTTTGCATGCCACAGCTGGGGTGCCTGCATGCTGCTACTAAGAAGCCAGAAAGCTGCAACTAAGGAGCCCTGGGGCCACAGCTGGGGAGCCTGGCTGCCGCAACTAAGGAGCCCACGAGCCACGGCTGGAGAGCCCACCTGTCACAACTAAGACCCCACGCAACCAAATAGATACATAAATAAGTAAATATTAAAAAAAAAAAAAGATTGAATGTTAAAAAAAAAAAGAACGAGCTCTAGGAAGGAGCAATTTATTCTGAATTGAAAATCAGGAAGTTTCCTCAGAGGGCATGACCTTGGCATTGGACCCTGAGTGATAAATATGGTTTCAATAGACTAACATGGTGGACAAGGGCAGAGGAACTTCCATGAATCAAAGTACGGGGCAGTGAAAGTGCAGGGGCGTCAAGGGGCGGGGTGGTGGTGGGGGGGCGCGGGGGGCAGTGCCAGAGGAAGTGGCAGGACAGAACTGAAAAGAATCAGAGTCGGGCTATGAAGGCCTGGTGCTAAGATAACTTTATCCTTAATTCTATAGGAAAAGGGAAACCAACAACAATCTTTGAGGAAGAGTGACATCATCAAATTTGCATTGTATCTTCCTATCCTAAATGAGAAAGAAACACAATAGAAATGAACTAAACTGACAGAGAAAAGTCAGAGAAAGCAGACCAGGCGGGTTAGGCAATCGGTTCAGGCATTCTTCCTGGGCCTCTTCAAACCAGGGGCAACATACAACATCTCTGAGCTTTTGCAGCAAAGACAGAGTTGACACTTCCAGAAATGCTGAGTGGCTAGTTACAGGGACCCTTTGTCTCTCAAAATATCTGCTCATATAGCACACGCTTTCCTGTAACACTATGGGACCTATAGTGCAGGTTTAGCTGAAAATTCACTTAATTTTGATTTCAGAGTGGGACTTGACAATTTTAGTTTGGGGTGACAATTAAGAGCTAGTTATATAAGCATTAAAATTATAGTTTGCACCCCTGAAAAATAAAATGACTTAAGGTGGTGGCTAGTCAATCTAAATTCTCTCAGTTATATTCTGCAGAAGAGTAACACGCTGTTGATTTATGCTGTCAAAGAAACAATATTTTCCTCGCTGGTAGCACAAAGCTGGAAGAAATAACTAATACATCATCTGACAGAATCTTAGAGTCACAAAAATCTCCACAGGCTTAAACCAATAGGCTCATTCTAAGAAAAACATGCAGAGAGATAAATGTCAATATTTGAACTGAGATTTAAGTTGCCAAATGTATAAATACAAGATAGAGGAAACCTAGTTTAAGCCCATGTAAGTTGTCTTAGGGTTTTGGTTGAGCCCAAGTCCCACGCACACCAGCACTGACATAGCCCCAAGGAGCCCCAAGGCACAGAGTGCAGAAATGGAGGATAAATGTCCAGAAGAGGAAATGCAATGTCGGCTGTACCCTACACTAGTCATTCCTCACTCGCAGGATTTTGTTTGGTCCTGAGAGTCACATTCCAGCAGGGGTGTCATGTGAGGAATGCCCAGGAGCTTGGGATGCTTGGATTATAAAGAGAACCTGGGGTGAAGTGGCAGCACAGGCACACAGTGCTTATGGAGTTGGCACAGTTTGGTTCTGCATGGTCTTAGAGGATTATGTGGGTCTACAGAGAGAAACCATTGACCCAATACATGAAAAGCATCTTCTAAAGAAACTTTCCAGAACAAATAGGTTGATTTATGAGATTTATAAGCACCTCGTCACTGAGAACACTTAAGCGAAGGCAGGATGACGACCTATTGGGCGGGGACTCCTGCACTAGAGGAGACTGACCTCTCAGCCTAAACATCTGTGCTTCGGATATGGGGGCACATGGCTCTATGCTCACAGAAACTGAACAGGAAATGGGCTTGCTAATATATTTATATATTGACAGATCCTCTCTGTCTCTGTCTCTCAGTGTTATTTGATAGTCCTGTGGGGTTTTTTTTGTTTTTTTTTTTTGCGGTACGCGGGCCTCTCACTGTTGTGGCCTCTCCCGTTGCGGAGCACAGGCTCTGGATGCGCAGGCTCAGCGGCCATGGCTCACGGGCCCAGCCGCTCCGCGGCATGTGGGATCTTCCCGGTTCGGGGCACAAACCCGTGTCCCCTGCATCGGCAGGCGGACTCTCAACCACTGCGCCACCAGGGAAGTTCTGTACTTTGATTTTAATCCTTGTCTTAAATCCTTTACATTAAAAATCTTAAATTTTGACCCTAAAGTACAATTTAGGAAAAATCAGTCATATGTGGCAAATACATTTA